ACCCCTTTCACTTCTAGCATCTCGTGAAAAGTCTAACTAAAAAGAGAAAATACTTTCATGATTTGAGGAGGGTGGGGGGAACCTTCAAGGAGTAGCAGAGCAGTTTCCTGGGGGAAAAAATAGATCCTCTGGAATTTTCTGCTAGGAAGTGGAAGCAGCTGATGTTATCAACTTAGCATGTTGGAACCCTTTGCTGGGCTTACCCAGGCAATCTCTGGAGAAGACCCATAAAATGATCCTGTGGTGGATGAGCCCAGTTTAACATTCCATTCGAGGCAGAGCAAGTCTGACATGAGTTTGGCAACTACTCGTGGAGCTTGGGGCAAAAGAAGAGAAAGCTCATCAGGCCCCACCTTTCCCAGGCAGCTGGAATGGAGGAATGGCATGGGCTTGTCCCCTGAGCTCGGCTGACATTTGGTTCCATTAGGGAGCAAGAGCTGGTTCCAATGTCCTAAGCACAATTACCGAAGCTAAGCTGATCCATGTGACCGTGGCGCTGTGTTTTCAATTATTCTTTCTCTTTTCTCTTTCTCTCTGTGCCAGGCCTGGAGGAAAGGCAGGCTTCCACAGAAGTCCAGTTCTGCCTTCTCCACCGCAGCCTTGTAGCAATTGTTCTCTTTCTTTTTTGCACTTTTCATAATGACAAGTCTCATTTGGAAAAATTCTTTGCTCTTGACCTAAAGAGTTAACGCTTTGTCCCCCATGCACTGCCAACCTCCCATCCATGGCCCCTACCATCCTCACGTGAGAGTCAAGTCCACAGAAGTGATCTGCCCCTCTGGAAAAGCTTATTTTAAAAAACTAACAGTCATCATCGGACACTCCTGCAAATGGTCCACTGAGATTAGTACAGTTTCCACCAAGGAATGTGATCCCTCTGCGCTCCCCAATTCTACACACATCCAACTTTTCCACCGCTAAGTGAAGCACGCAACCTTGCCCCCAGCCCTGAAGGACCCCAAATGTTTGTCTCCTGGAAAATGCCCATTGAATGACCCCGCCATTGCTGTGATAGTCATCATGGGTTGGGAGAGGATGTGGAAGGGAAAGGGAACCGGATTTTCGTTCTAAGAATCCACCTAGACTGTGGCAGTGTTTGGGGAGCAAGAAAGCAAGAGGCTTTTATACCAGAGCCTGGCACTGGTTGGGGTAATGGGGAAGTTGGGGCCTTGACAGGAGTGACTGGCTCCTCTCCTAGGCTTAGGGTGGGACGAAAGAGAATTTCAAAAGCGTTTTGGATCTTGGATGTCACTGTTTTCTGTGCTGTATGCCAGCAGTGTCAGATAGAACAACTATTCCAGGAAGAATTTCTTAAACAAAAATAGAAATTGATTGGTTTATGTCACTGAATAGATAGAAGTGGCTTTAGGCGTGGCTGGATCCAGGTGCTTATCTGATTTCATCTGGACTTAGCTGCTTGCACTATTTCTCTCTACCCCTCGCCTTTTGTCGCCTCTTTCTCTCCATCTCTCTCTCCACCTCTGTGAGTTCCACTTCCTCTATGTTGTCTTCACTCTCAGCCAGCCCTTTCCACATAGTAAAAACAAAAACAAAACAAAAAAAAAACATTGCCATTAAGTGGATTCCAACTCATAGTGACCCTGTAGGACAAAGTAGAACTGTCCCATAGGGTTTCCAAGGAGCGGCCGGTGGATTCATACTGCCGACCTTTTGGTGAGCAGCCAAATGCTTAACCACTGCGCCACCAGGGCTCCTTTCAGCAGTTCCGTATTTATGCTACTTTCCCAGTTTAGCAGCAGTAAAAGTCTGGAGTGATTTTAATACAAAAGTTAGATTATCTCTTTATCTCTTAACTGACTAATGAACCAGTGCTGACTGTGACCAAACATACATGCACATTCACATAGACACACACACGCACATGTATACAGACACACACAAACATATAGGCAGACACACAGAGACACACACACACATAGTCAAATACACACAGAGACACATATGCACACAACACAGACACACAAAGACACATATGCACACACACAAATACACACACACAAATACACACACACCCAGTTCCTTCTCCATGAGTCCCAGGTGAACTGTTGGGAGTCCTAATGAGGCTGATCAAAATGGAAAGAGGTTTGGATACATTAATTGTGATCGTTAGGATTGTGTGTCAACTTGGATGGGCCATGAGTCTCAGTGTTTATATGTGATCACTCCCATGATGGAATCTGCTGTAAGTAGCCAATCATTTGAAACGGAGTTTCCTTGGGGGTGTGGCCTGCATCCAAATATAAGTAGACATTCTGGCTTTTTGCTCACTCTGGATCCTGAGGCTGCCTCCTGTTCATCTGAACTCCAGTTCTTGGGACTTGAGCTATCAGCTTATCTGCCGATCTTCACAGACTGTGAGTGGAGCCCTGCTCTCCGACCTGCCAATCTTGGTTAGCCAGCCCCTGTGGCTATGTGAATCAGGAGAAGCCCCTATCCTGATCCATAGACTTGGGATGTTCCAGCCGCTACAATTGCTTACGCCGTTTCCTTGATATAAATCTCTTTCTATATATGTTTATACGCTTTACTGATCTGATTTTGCTTCTCTAGAGAACCCAGCCTAAGGCATTAATATTTACAGTAACTTCAGTGCTGACAGTTACTAGTTCTGGGAAGTTGAACTAGTAGAATGCAAGGGAATTCCTGTGTTGGGTGATGGTGGCAGAAAGGAGAGTAGTTACAATTTGGATTTGAAGGGTGACATGTGGAAGTAAAGGTGAGTAATGAGAAAAAAATAAAAACATAAAAAACTACTCAAACCTCGAACTCTATGTATCCCTCAGTCAATAGATCTGAGCATTGATATTGTGCTTAACAAATCCTTTCAAAAGGAAGCAGGTTTTAAGGAAGAAGATCACACCCTCTGGACTCGAGTTCATGACTTTGGTGCACGTAATAATGCAGAACTGATAAAATAGAGTTTCAGTGGTTTTAGGGAGACAGAAGCAGACTCTGAGGGCTGAGGCTCAAAGAAGAGGTGAACATGAGGTGAGAAAGTACAGGATGTGGAATGTTTGTTCAAGTACTAAAAAAAGTTAGACATTATTATTTTTATTGCTGTTATACCTGAAAAGACTGGAGGGGGTGGGACCAGGGAACAGATGGGTGGATTGTCCTCAATAGGAGGGTGAGAGCATATTTCATTACAAAGGGTATGTACAGATGTGTACAGAAGGCAAGTGAACTTGTAGATTTGATGGTAGAAAGTTGGGGGAATTTCTATCTGATGGTTTTAATGTGTCCATGAAGTAGACGCTGATGAGTTCTACTTCTGGCAAGGGTAAAGGTAATCTAGATTTTAAGAGAGTGAGGTTTTGAAATACTAGTCTTTATTGAGAACGTGGGATCAAGTTAATTATGGAACCACAGTATGAGTGTTGGACAAAGCTGGAGGCCGAGTTGGTGGCTGTGAGTGTTTCATGGTGCTCAGGAGTGGCAGGGTCTCCTGCAGAACTTCGTCACCTGCGACCAGGCGTACAGTGTGGTAGAAAGTTGGATTTATTTATGGGTGAGGGTTTACTGTCATTTGACATGGCAGGATATGGAGTATAGGAGTTTGGAATATTGGCAAGTGGGTGCTTTGTGAAATGGACCAACACTGAGTCAATTCAAGAACAGTGCTTGATACCTAGGCACATATCCATCTCAAATATCCTACACCTCAAATATTTATTCATTTGTTCATTTTAAATTAATTTATTCATTCTTATTTGTTGCTGTAGATGGTTGGTGAATAAACTGACAAAATTAAAGAGGTAATACAGAAACTTGGGTGTTGGAAAACAGTCTTCTTTAAGAAGAAATTCCCTTTTGGGGGAATATGTGAAAAGCTTTTTATTTGATGAGATGTTGGAAGGTCTGCTTTTTCTAATTCAATACTGGATGTGCACAAACAGAGTATCAATGGGCCAAGAGCTTCCCACAATTTGTTGTTCTGGCAACAGGCTTTGTTCTGTGGTTTGGGCCGGAGTCAGAACATCTCTGGATGCAGCACCAGGGCCCCTTTTGCCACCTGCCTCATGGAAACTGAATCCGTGGGTGGTGCCTCTTGGTGAAGCTGAGCTGGGCTAGGCTGGGCTGAGAATGACGCTGTTGACCTGGAGTGGAAAGCCATTCTCACTCCAGCAGGCTGTGAAAATTTGATCCAGTGAAGACAGGTAAAGGAGCAGGAGACCCTAGGCCTGGCTGTGGCACTGGCTAGCATGTGACCTTGGGCCCAGGGAAGGCACACATGTGTGCCACGTGCCTGTTATGTGCTAAGCCTTTTGGCAGATACGTCACATGCTTCTCCTTCTTTCACACTCACATCAACCCTGGCAGGTCAGTGTTAGTGGGACGTTCAGCTGGCCGGGGTCTTGGGCTCTTCATCAGTAAATGAGGACACCAGATACCAATGGTCTTCAGGCTGAGTTCCATAAATTCTGGGGTCACCAAAGTAGTAAAAGGGGACAGGACCCTTGGAGTTTAGTCCCTCTCCCTCCTTTCTTCCCTCTCTCCAGTTTGACCTGCTCTATATACTCGAGTTCCCTGTAAACTTTCGTTTGAAGAATGGCTTTTGCATCTAAAACCCCCTAAAAGCCCTGGTATCTGTGATCTATCACTGGTCTCTATGATCTCTAAGAGTTCCACTGTGATTCTGTGACTACTAGCTCATCTGCCAGTGTTCTTTGGGGTCTTGGGTTTGCACTTACCCTATCTGAGCCTCAGTGTCCCTGTCATAGGATGAGGGTTTGGACAAGAGAAGCTCTGAATACCTGTCAGGTCTTAGGTGAGGCCTCCATGATCCTAGGGGTGGAAGGACTGTTAACCACTGGGTTAACTGAGACCTATGGAGCTGGCAAGCCTGCAGGGCCAGTGGCAGTAGAGGACAGTCTTCCCATCTGTCCTGTTCACGGTGCCTGGCATGCATGGCTCAGTTCCTGGACTCCACTCGTCAGCAGCAAGTCACATTGCTTCTCCCTGCTTCCTCTTTCCTCCAGGGACACATGAAGTGGCAGCCAAGCCCAATCCTGCCACCACCCACCAACCGAGGCCCCGAGATCAAGAAAGGAAGAAGGGCAGCTTTACTGCCTCTCTGAGGATGGAGCCACACAGCCGTTCTGGAAAGAGCAGGAAATCTGCAAAATTCCGGTCCATCTCTCGGTCCCTGATCCTCTGTAATGCTAAGACCAGTGACGATGGCTCTAGTCCTGATGAGAAATATCCTGATCCCTTTGAGATGTCCCTGGGCCGGGGCAAGGAGGGAATTTTCCACTCCTCTGTGCAGCTGGCAGACACGTCAGAAGCTGGGCCCAGCAGCATTCCTGATCTAGCCTTGGCCTCTGAGGCTGCTAATCTCCAAGCAGCTGGGAGCGATCGAAGCAAGACCTGTAGGAGGATATTCTTCATGAAGGTATGCTCAAGATTTGGGGGCTGAAAGAGCCTGCAGGCTGGTTTCTAGTGCGGTGAAATTAAACTCTTTGAATTCATTTACTCCAAACTCAGGAAGCCACAGAGTTCTACTTTTGAAAAAAAGCAAGGAAAAAGTTGAGGCAGGGCCCGCTGGAACTATAACAATGAGGAGAGTAGTGAATCAGGAGCAGTTAACACTCTTGCTTGAAAGAGTCAGTGAGGCAATGTATAAGCCTGAGGTTAACTGAGCCTAGATTCCTGCCGGAAAATGCCAGGTGCAGTAGGTAATATACTGGGACCCTTCCATCTAGAGACAGGCACTATTGGGCATACTGGGCAGGTCAAATCATACCCAGTAGGGAACCTATTAGACACAGACTTATAAGCCCTGGACAGAGGAGGAGGCCTTATGGAAAGCAGGATAAGGAGTACAGCATGAATGAGTTTGCTCCCCAAATGCTGGCTGTGAGCATTTTCCAAGTGCCCCCTGCCGATTCCAACACAGGTGTGGGTGCTGCAGATGCCAAGCAGAGCCATAAATAGAGGAGAGGGAAAACTAAGCAGTGTTTTAGGACCTGCCAAAATTCAGAATGCTTTCTTTTTTGTTAGACTACAGTTCTCTTTTTGTCATCATAATGAGATAGATATTGCAGGGTACCATAAGATAGCGGCTGATGAAAGGGCTTTACTCTCCTGTTATTCCTGATCAAATACCATGTCAGCAGCCATCTGTCAAAGGTGGGATTTCTCAGGGGTTCTAACATCCCTGAACCTTGGATCCACTGTGGCTCACTCAGTGATGGGTCAAGCCAGAAAGGTTACTCCCATAGCCTACTGCTAAACCCCACTAGGCACAATCACATGACTATTAACAGCAAATAGGGAAGGCATCCCAATACCTCTGGAAGGGATCAAAGGCCTTTGTACAACTTGCCTCCTTGAGGAGGAAATTCATTACATTTCAACTATATAATAAACAGCATCATGTAATGTTATATAATGTGTTAGGGGGTCAGGCCCCAAGCAGGGGATAGCCCCAGTGACCTCCAAACACAAGTAGCTTCTTCGAGGGCCCTGCTGAGCGCAGGCTGCTCCATCAACCATCATGTGACTTCCCCTGATACACCCTGAACTTGCTCAATAGGGTAGAATGAGGAGTCAGCAGCCTGATGGGTTTGGGTGAGCCTGGCCCAGCTCCCAGCTCGCCAATCACAATATGAAAAGTACATAGTCCACCAAGAATCAAACTTACTGATGACAATATCAATTTACCCAGAGTAGAACCCAGATAATTGAAATTAAAAAATCATCTCAAGACCCCAGCAGACTTCCAGAATGAATTATTCAATTACTTCTATTTAATTGCACAGGCATTTCCTGAGCACCTATTATGTGCCAGGCACTGCACTGTGGGGAGCCAGTTCCCGGCCTCAAAAAACTTGTTTAAAGTCAAGTAAAAAATATGCTCCCAGAAGGGTATAAACAAGGGCTGTAGGAGGCTCCAAGGAAGGAGGGAGCAGGTCTCTTAGGGCAGAGACTCATTCTTTCATTATCCCAGTAAACATGCCAGGCACTGTTCTAGGGAGTGAGCAAAACAGACTCAGTCCTTGCCCTCATGCAACTTTTATTCTGGTGGGGAGACATAGTTATTAACAACAAAATATATGATGTAATATTAGATAGTGAAGGCCTGTGAAGAAATAGCAAGTAGGACAAGGGGATAGAGAGCAATGTGGAAGGGTTACTGTCCTGTTGGAAAAGGTGATCACGAGGGCTTCTTTAAAGAAGTAATATTTGAATTTGATCAAAGATTCTGTAGAAGAATCCTGATCAAAAGGGAAAAATACGTGGAATAGAACTTCAAATTCTCATGGAATCCAGACCCTCTGGAGCCATTGAGGCTGTATGACTCCCCTCCCACCCCCCAAAAAAAACTATTGCCCTGAGAAAATCTTTAAACCTTAAACTGAAATTAACCTCTGAAGTTACCCTTGACACCAAACAATAGTTTAGCTTAATTAGAAAAGAATGTCTGCTTTGAGCATTTAAAGAAGTATCTATATGAGATAGAACTGACAACAGCAATTCAAAAGGTTAGACGAGAAGCTTAGGGGCCTATGAGTTTGTGTTGATGATGGTAAAATAAATTGGAAAAAGATATCGAGAAAGGTGGTACAACTTGAAGAATGTAATCAAGGTCACTGAATTATACATGTAGAAGTTGTTGAATTGATGTATGTTTTGCTGTGTATATTTCACAAAAAAAAAAAAAGAGAAAGAAAGTAACATTTGAGCAAGGACCCAAATGACGCTGAGGTATGAACCATATGAACAGCTGCAGGAAGAGCATTTGGGCAGAAGGAACAGCACATGCAAAAGCATGATGAAAAGAATGTGCTTGAGGACTATCAAGGAGAAAAGTATGAGGTGGAGAAGAAAAGGGAAGATGGTAGAAGAGGAAGTAGGGATGGTAGCTCGGTCCAGAGGAAGGACTATGAGAACTGTTATCAGGACAGGCAAGTCAGTTTGAGAGGGGCTTCCTGGAGGTGGTGACAGTGGAAAGCAGGGTGAATAATGGATATCCAAGTAAAGGAGTCAAGGTTGTGGTGAGTGGTGGGAATGGGCAGCAGGGACATGGACAGGGATCAGAGGTGAGAAAGAGAGTTGTCTTTGCTAAGGGTGGAGGCAGGGGCCATGTGCACAGCTGAGTCAAGTTTGAGGCAATTGTGGTAAGAACTAGGATGGCAGAGAAGGGGAGCATATAGTTCAGAACATGAAAATCTTTTTTTTTTTTCTTTTCCTTTTTAAGGTGCACAGATGCTCCTTAGCAATCCATCAATGAGTTCTAAGCAAGTGAGGGTTTCAGTTGAGAGGGTGTAGTATCCAAGGTGCTAGATCTGCAAGGTCAAAGGTGACAGCTGGTCCCAATATCCTTTCCAGAGGAGCCTCAGAAGACACGATAACCCACCCCGCAATTCTCCCTCCTCTGCCCTGAGCTCCTTCCCTGCCTCCACTCACCAGAGACACATATGCCCAGCATGACTCAGTCGGCCCAGATGGACTCCCCAGCCTCCAGCAATACCATGGTTACACTGATTTCAAAACAACATCTGGAATCAGACCTTGTGACATCAGCCTCTCCTCTAGAAACACCTAATATAAAAATTAAAGAAGAGGAAGTTAAATAAACAGCCAACTTAAAAAAAAAAGGCCTTATTGGATGCCTTGTGTTTAGCACAACAAGGACTGACTAAGCCGCTGCCCAGTGAGGTGCCACATCTGGGTGGGGATGTGCAGAGTCTGAAGGAAGCATCTGAAGTTGTGCTGTGCCTTCAGGTGGCCAGGGGCTCCTTCTTCAGGGGGAGTGTCCAGACTCCAGGGGATAAATTAAGGCTGGAGAATGTTCCAAATCAGACTCCCTAAACACAACAAACAAGCACACAAATCACAGCTTCTCAGGCTGAGAAATTTATAAGAAGGCAATGCATGAACTCACTGGGTATCTGGACCCACTGTCTGACCATTAACCTGCTTCCAAATGGGGAGAGTATTTTAAAAAGCACCCTTTAAATAGGCTGCTGGGGCCGAAGAGAAGGAAGCTCAGTGAGTTGGAACTAAAGCTCACCTAAGCTCCCCCTCTTTTCCCTGTTTCCCCTCTCTCTCCTCTCCTTTCTTTTTCATTCCTTTCTTTCTGTTGCTCTACACGTTGGCAAGACACCTGCTATGAGCTAGCCTCTGGGGATAAAGAAACAAATTTGATGTTATGTCTTCCCTCAGGGAATTTGACTTCTAGTGAAGAGGACAAGTGTAAGGATAATCAGTTCTGTCCCTAGCTTTGCTTGTTCAGAGTCCCATGGAGAGAGTGAGTTGTTGTCGTCTGCCATCAAGTCCATTCCGATTTGTAGGGACTCTGTGTTAGAGTAGAACTGCCCCATAGAGTTTTTGTGGCAGTAATCTTTACGGGAGCAAATCACCAAGTCTTTCTTGCTTGGAGCCACTGGGTGTGTTCAAACCACCAACCTCTAGGTCAGCAGCTGAGCGCTTAACCGTTTTGCCCCCAGAAGATGAGCAGTAGAAGAATTATATCTTGTCAGGAGCCTGCTAACCAGTACCCATTTGCTGTTAAGTCGATTCTGACTCATGGTGACCCCTTGTGTGTCACAGTAGAACTGTGCTCCATAGGGTTTTCAATGGCTGATTTTTCAGAAGTAGGTTGCCAGGTCTTTCTTCTGAACCCCCTCTGGATGGACTCAAACCTCCAACCTTTCGATTAGCAACCAAGTGTGTTAACTGCTTGCACCATCCAGGGAGCCTGCTAAGTTACCTTTTGTTCTCTCAGCGAGTACAGCAGTAATATGACTTATGCCTAACTTACGAGACTTCCCTAGAGGGCAATGGATTCATCTAAATTACTGAGAAATCCAGGCAATCTAAGAAACAAGCAGAATGAGCTCGGGTTAAGCTGAAGTCTCTCTTGTCCACCCCTCCACGAAGCTCACGTGGCCAAAGGGCATAGGTAGTGCTTCCGGGAGACTATAGGAGAGAGTCGGAGAAGTAGAGTGGGCAGGTAGGAGTGGAGGTGAACATGCAGAGGGAGACAGTGGGCGGAGGGGAGAGAAAAAAGTCGGTGAGGGTGAGAGGGAGACACTCTCCACAAGACTGGCCTCAGACTTACAAGGGTACATTCCAAGAAGTCGTCTGCTCTAAGGTATTTTCCACATTTCTCCTACAAGCTTTGCTGTTTTTTCCTTTACATTTGGATCTTCAATTCATATGAAATTGATATTTATATATATTGTGAGGTAGAGGCTTTTTTCCTATGAGGATACCCAATTAAGCCAGCTCCAAGGTTTGAAAAGTCTGTCCACTGCACAGGAGTGTCATCTTCTTCGTGAGTCAAAAGATCATACGTGTGTGTCTATTTCTGGTCTCTTTGTTCTGGTCTGTTAGTCTTTTTTTTTTTTTTTTTTTTTAAATACCTGACCTTGCACTAATACCACT